CTAGAAGTGATAAACAAATTGAAATCAAGATGAGCAAAGAAATTTAACATACATCCCAGTGAAGCAGTAGAAGCTTTTGTTATTAAAGGGAAAACATCATGAACTTTATGTACAGAAACGCTTGGTTTGATTTCTTGTCGCTATGAAAACGTTTGGTGTAAACCTTTTCGATGTGCTATATAATTCATCGCCAACATTTTGATGTGACTTAACTTAGGATGTGGAGTTTCTATCTCTTGTTTAGAATATCCGTCTGCTAAGTTCTAAATTTGAAAAACACATCTCAACTCTGTTCACTCCATAATCCTTGCTAGTATTTAAGTAATATTTACGTTTTACCTATGTCGATATCTCCCATTATATTTTTTAAATCCTATTTAAATATACAAGGCATGATGCAAAGTTACGAGGAAAAGTTTCAAACACCATTGTCATTTTATTTCATGTAATATGAAACTTTTCATGCTAAAGGTCAAATATGTAAGCCAGCGAGCCATACTGCTTACTTACATCAATCTGAATTCAAAAAGTAATGTTTTTATCTCATCTAGTATAGAAATGATTCACTAACTTCGTACAAATTGGGAGTAAATTTTGAAATGAACTTAGTTATAGTAATGATAATAGAGGCTAGCAGTTGGATTCAAGTCTCTTCAGCTGCATGTACCTACCTCCCAGTGAATGATTAGGATCCCATTAGGACTCGAATTCCACCACCCATCGTTTCAAATCCTAGAGTATTATGCACTAGGTCACTGAATCATGACAGTCACTCATTACAATTCAAATTATTTGCTGTTGTAGCTTGTAACTTCCCATTCGATGAGTTCAAAGTATGATAAAATCACATTCTGAACTCCTTTACTGGTCGCTACTCATTATTACTCTCAAACTGAAACTATCAGCTAAATGAGGCATCCGTAGTGAAGTATCAATTTGTTACGAACAGCGGCGGGGATCTACAAGTCATAGTACATTTTAATTACATTCACTAATTGGTCATTGAAGGGTAACTAACTTCATGTTGTATAGTCCTGGGTGCTGACCGCATTCCAGCCATAAATCTTGCAATGTGGTCACCAAACGATGAGACTCACCATCATGGTACACTTTCATAGATGTTAGTTGGTTGCAGGCAATCGTCCGGAAGCCTCAGAATCAGGTTTCGTGCGTTTTGGTACTCGTCGGTAGGGCGTATTTGAATCTCGTGGGGACTGATGTCCCATGTGAAAACCTGCATTACCTAATGCTGGAGTCAGAGACATTACCATGGAGCTATTTGGGCTATGACTGACCTTTGATTGCATTAAAAAATTTGTAGGGACAATTAAACTGGGTGCTCGAATTCAATCTGGACATCAGTAAAACTCATGAACTAGACATTTATAATGCTAACTGAACATACTAATAGACTGCGCTTTGGCTCTGTTACTGAAAATCTTTTCCCAAAAGTACACTAATTTCAAATTAGCACACTTGAGTCAGTGGTGTTTCTAAACATGTGATCCTAGTGCAAGAATGTCGAATAAGGTCTTGGGTTTTACTACTCCAGTTACTATAAAATTGCTCATACTAGTTACGAGAAGCGAAGGTGTTTAAGTTCCTCCGTATTCACATTGGAATAAACCAATAATCTAGCTGTTAAGATTCAAATACACTGAACTTTCATTACTGTTCAACCAGCACAGCTGGATAACCTGAGTCCAGCTTTCTGACTGCACCTATATGACTAATTGGGAAAGAGGTCTAACTCGTGAAGAACAACTAGAAAGTCAGAGGTCAGGTAGAGAAACGGCTAACAAGAAAGCCTATGTAGTCAATGACAGAACAATCATTAAACATTTCGTAACGCCGAATCACTGAATTACTCATAGAGGAATTCACATAATTAATTCATACTGAAGTCAGTACTGAGAATTTTGTCTAGAAGGACAATGAAAGCTTCATGATTAAACCACCCAGCTCAGAGAATACAACCAACAAAACCAAAAGTTAACCTATATAAAAACTGAATTTTAGGTGTGTAAGTGTCTAACACATAGGGAGGATGATTGCTAAGGCTGATGAAGTTAAGCGGTGTGAATGAAGACCAGGATGTTGATGGCGATGATAAAGAGGGCCATTGATTTTTGCTGCGTTTGTGAGATACGCAGACAGGACCCAATTGTGCTTAATTATTTAACTTCACCCGGTGAATCTGAAAAATTGATCCTCCAGGTTTCTGAAGATTCAATAGATAGGTCTTGCATGCTGCTGGTGTAATATAGCATTAATTGTTAAGGTAGAAGTGCACTTCTTGACTGAACGGTACAGTGAGGAATTAAAAAATAGTAGTGAAACTCGTCGTTGACTTCTTGTAATCGCTGCTCATGAATCCATTGACAGCAGCTCGCATGAATTGAAAGATGGGTTCTATCGGAAACTGCCTAGCCTCCTACTGGCAAACAGATGTTGAGATATGGTGGTTGTTGCAGGCGTTTTTAATGCACAAGTGGGCAACCTAAGTCAGTCACAAAGGCACTTAGGTAGCACTTTCGAAATCCTAGCCTAACAAATAACGGCAATATGTTCATCAGACGAACGTTTACTTCCGGTCAGCCTGAACTTGGGACAAAAAGATAAACCATATTGCTATCACTTACCGCTGGAGAGGGTTGGCGGAAGATTGCCACTTCTTCTGGAGTACGTATCTGGACAGCGTTCACGCGTTGACTGAGCATGAACGTGCCTTCACACAGCACTTTGGAACACGATGAGATTGCTACGGCTGCTTTCAGCAGCAAAACTTGCAAGATATTTATCAGGATATAACAGCATAAATCATTCAAAAGGAACCTAGTTCCATCTCTAATCAAATGTGAAGACACCAGTGAAGACCTGAATGACCTTCAATAAGCCTTAGGACAGGTCCAATGGATCTGAATTAATGGATGTGCGCGAAAGCATTTCCAAAGACTACGAGCACAATAAGGACAGAAAAATGAGATACAGACTGGCAAGAAGTATACGCAAAGACCGAGAACGGTGATGGACAGCGAAGGTTCAAGAGAAGGAAAAGGCAGCGGCAATAGCTAATAGTAGACAGCTACTTAGATTTATCAAAGATACCTTAGAGAAAAGGCCGATTGTTAGTGAAGCTATAACGGAGAAGTATGGATCTGTGAGTCATTCGCAAGAAATACGACCGAAACAGTGGGTGCAGCACTTTGAGGAGCAGTTTAAATGGTCTCCAACTACTATTCAGTCACCCATAACACAGCTGAACTCTGAAAAAAACATGCTCGAAACGTCATCAAGTAAATAATACTAGATCACTGTGTGTTATAAATCAAATAAACGAATCTAATATGGAATTAATTTCTACCACAGTGCTCAAGTTTTACACCTATATTAATGGAGATATGGGGTTCAAAATTTGCAAAAGATGAGAAAGCTGTAAACAATCTGAAATGAGAACGAGCAACAGGGAGGGATAAGCCAGTATCAAAGGTTTTCGGTGATGGCGGTTTTGAATTAATATTCAGGTCAATTGAATTGCTGGCTAGTGTATGGAAATTAAATGTATAGCTTCCATCACTTTATGTTGTCTACGTCACCACCATGATATTTGATTGTCTATTAAGAATTGAGTTTACTGCGCTGCAGTTCGCTCTGATCTACTATATAGCTCTGAAACGTGGCCATTAAAAGTAGAGGACATGGGAAGATGTCTGGTGATTAACCACGGTTGCCTTCGTAGTACAGGTGACATATTGTGGTGTCACCATGTGGGTAACACAGAAGTCAAGTGAACAGTTTTAAGGAGTAGAGAAGAGTCAATTGATGCGGTTGTGAAGCTTAATCAACTGAGATAGCTGGAAAATGTTTTACACATTCCTGGTCACCATCTAGTACGTCGCATAGTGTCAACTAATATAGGTTCAGGCTAGATAAACGCTAGTTGAGTTCAGATTAAAGTATGGCATCAATTTGCGAAGTCTCTGACTGTTGGTCTGAGCCATGTAGGAAAATGTTGACTTCTCGGTTCCTCTCTGCATGATGATAGAGACCAGGGGTTGGAGACTAAATAAAATGCCTCAGAATCAATCTCAGTGGTACAGATGTATCCCCACATCATCTTCATTCTAATAGTGAAACTGAGTTCCAGTATTCTCCCATTCTTCCTTGTACTTATTTGATGACATTCTACCACTTTTGTCTGCTAAAAACCTTATTTGTTTATCTCTCATTTTGTTGTATTGTCGCTTGATATCCTTACACGAGGTGTGGCACTTTGAACAGTTACTTTGTAATCCCAAGTCCCGTTTTGATCTTGTCTTGCAATGCGAGTGATTATGCATCTGTTCCGGATACACAGAAAATTCTACTACCCATATCAAGAGGAGTAGAGAGAATTAAAATGATGTAAACTATGTACCGATGTTGTGAAGTCACTTTGATATGAATATGGTGACCAAACTGCATCCAAGACGTAATCCCCTTAATAATTCTTCTTCAGTGTGATCTGTCAAACAAACTGGAATGGAATAAGTGTGCGGTTGCTTTACTTAATGCTATTCATTTACATAGTATTTTTCAACTACAATCATCTTGTTGCTTAACTCTCTTTATTTATTATTTGGATGGATTTTCGTTAGCACAATACTGAATAGTTATCGTCAAAACTTTCAAAGACCTTACAAGGGCTAATATGATGTCTCACAGTTTATAAATCTGGAATTTGAATCTAAGAGGAACCATACTTATGCACATGGCTAATCTATCTCACAAAACGCTTTGAAACTTGGTCATTATCATCTCCTGACTTTCAGTATTTTCTTAAATTGGATACTTAATTTGAAGTATCATCCTTTGCATTTCGTCAGAATGCCTAGAATATATTCAGCTTTTTAAGTTAATATCCCGTTATTTATGACACAATGATAATAATAATAGTAATAATAATAATAATAATGACAGTTAAAGTTGAGTTCACACATTTCACGGAATTGTTGACTTACCAGGTTTATTTAATATTTCAAATCGATGAACTACATTTGGATTAATTTCTGAGACATAAATCATATCACTTCTAGGAGATAAAGTCAAATCATGTGGTGACATTATATTGTAAGCAGAAAAGAATCCAACTAATCCAGAACCTTGGTATGCTACAGCCCAATAAGGATTGTATGGTTTGTTAATTATTTCTTCTAAACTCTTCGGTTTATAGAGATTTAGAAAGAATAGATTTGGTGCTAACCAAACATTATCATTACTCAAAGATGAGTAGATAACAGACGCATAGGTGCGACCAGTTAGCCCAACAATAACTCTAAAGAAAATGAACAATCAAAGAAAGAAATTATAATTATTGTTTCATATAATGATTGATGGAATTATTTTTTATTTGAGAATATTTGTTAAACAAAATAATGTATGACAACATTGTTCATAAGAACTAAAGACGACAGAGATGAAAGACAGAAAAAAATTCAGAACACTAAAACAAAATGTTTGTCATTTTTCAAGGTATTATTCATCATGAACTGATACCAGTTAGAGAAACATTAAAAGCCTAGGAGCATTGGATAGCTATTTCGTCCTAATGTAATACTCCTCATGTATGCGTACCCATCATATTTCTTTTACTATTGTAATCCAGAAAGCAAGTGAAATCTATTGTAAGCTAACCAAAGACTTCAATTCCATGCTAAACGTCACCATTGAGTTGCTGGACTCCATAATTGATATGTATAGATTAGTGAAGCATCAAACTATATCATACTATATTACTACTTCGCTGATTGACTGTCTTTCTTCCAACTTAACCTGGAGTTAACAAACAATGGATGGAAAGGAATTTTAAAATATTTGAATCATTCAGTTTTATACTTGAAGCTCTGCTGATTATCCTTTGCATTCTTAATCCAATTTTCTGTAAGTTTCCTTAAAGTGTTTATGTTGTTGTTAAACAAAAATAAATGTTCTATCATCATTTAGCTCTGTTTCATCGACTAATGTTACACGTGATCAAAACGTGTACTTAACAATAAGCATTTTAGATATAGGCTAAATGGAATGTTCTCAAGTCAACAAAAAGATTCTTAAATGTTGAATTAAGAAATCAGATTACTAACTATAGTTGATTTCTCACTTTACTTATTTCAATCAATTATAAACAGAATGTAAAAATTTCCTTCATCGAACAGTAAAATATGAAATCAACTATGTTTTTACAAAAAATTATGACTGCCAATCAATTCACTTTCAAGGCAGTAGAAATAGTTAATAACAAAAATATTATTGAATGGTCTAAACTGTTGACGACAACTTAAAATATTCTCAATGAAAAGGATATCTACACCTTACTTAATATAGAAAGATAGGATTTTCTTATGAATGTTGACTGTGAGTATATTATTATTCATATCTGTCCCTTGGGTTCCTAATGGAACATAGGGCTTCAGTTGCACGTCTCCAATGCACTCTGTTCTCTGAAATCTTTCGAACCTGGCTCCACCACATCTCAGAAGCTCTCATTTCTTCCTCATACGATTTCTTCCATGTCACCCTCGCCACAGACGCCCAACTCATTGTTTCTCATCGGGGTTCCACTCGAGTAACTGGCCTGACGAGCGACGTCCCCAGTCGGCCTTCTCAGCGGATGCCCAATCCATCTCCACTTCCTTCTGCATAGTTGTTGAGCGATAGGTTGTTGCTTCGTTGGTTCATCGCCAACCAGACCGATTTTCTTGTTGCTTATTCTTTCTGGCCATCTGATCTTCAGTAACGAGCATGCGTAGGTAGCAGTTGTTGATGAATGTCTGTAGTGAGTATATTATATTCAAGTTCCCTTTTTCTAGACGATTTTATGAAACAGTTGTATCGATTTCCTGTAGTTTACTAATTCATACTAAACAAGAATATGAGTATTTGCAGCATAATGAGGAAGTTTTGTCAGAAATAAATTAACATAACTTCAAAATGGGAACTAAACATAGTCTAGTAAACCAAGATAGATTAAAATGATGTGTGAAGCATAGACTTTTTCATGTATTTCAAGTTGTTATTCATCGAAGACTGACATCAGTTGGAGGAACAAAGGAAACATGGGAGCACCGGACAGCTGTTTCGTCCTAGTATGGGACTCCTCAGCAGTGCGCACCCACGACCCCACCAGCAGGGATCGAACCCGCGACCTCCAGGTCCCGCGGCCAGCGCGTTACCATTGAGCCACTGGGTCAGAATCCAATGCTCCATATTCCAACTTCTGTTAGCTCACGATATATAGCGCAACCGCCACCCAATGTCATCGCTGAGTATTTGTCCTCATGGCCATCAGGCTTTGACTCCACCGGTCACGACTTGTCATTGGAACTTCGGGAATACTTCTCGAAACTAGTCACCAATGAGCACCAGTTCAATTAAATTTTGAGGGAGTTGTGGAGATTTGGAATTATTTCAAGCTGTTATTCATCGTAGACTGATATCAGTTTCATGTATAGCTGGAATATTAAGTCTAAAATATTCTGAAAAATCAATCAGTGCATATAGTAGTGTGAAAATTATACAGGTCATGCCGTGGTAAAGTGACAAGTCATCTACATTACTAAGACAACCATTAATCTATTATCATTCTTTTGTGGATTAAATAGTCGGGTAGTTGACCTATGGATTACATAGACATCGATAATTCTGAAGAAGCTAAAATATTCCCATTCAACAAAAGTTTCTTGGAAACTGATTGTTTTATGGATAGTCCTCTTGACTTATTAACATAATATGGTAAACTGTTGAAAAGGAGTGAAAGTTGAACAGCTGTTTGCTTTCAACTTCGAAACTAGTCGGCAGTGACTACCTACAGGACTGAATTAAGAACTTTCGGGCCTCTGGTGAGTACACTGACATCCAGTTACTTGGTTAAAGGTAATGATCTTTGGTCCCTCATTTCTTGTATGTTAACACTCACTAGCAAAGTGGAGATTCAAATCTGTATTATTAAGGCGTGATGTCACAGGCTTACTATTCACCTATTCAGCTCACAATTAATAGGTCCTTAGAACTGAATGATTCGTATGAATCGGTTACCAGGTAATAATCAATTAATGCATCAATTCCCCAATGCTGATTTATTCATTTTGATCGGTGCATTGATTTCATGGTAATTTTCCAGTTTTAGATTGTATTTCACCAAAAATTTTGATACCATATAGAAAACTGAGGTGTTTCCACTGGACACTTAAGATGAAAAAATCTTCTTGCCCAACACTATATACATAAGTGCTACAAGTATAATACAATGATTGATAACGAATTGATTGTGCCAAAATCAGAGTACTACGCTAAAAATGGCATCATTATCACAAGTGAATAGCAATTTACTTTCACATTAAATCTGCCAGAATGTAAAACCTGTACAATTAATTTATTAAACCAGTGGAAGTGCACCATTCACAAAATGTAAGGCTATATTTATCTAACACATAAACTACCACTCACTTTATGTGTTAGCTTAATTTTGTTTTTTAGCCGAATGAAATACTTTCAATTTTACAGTGAACATCATCTGATGTTCAAGACGAATAATCAAGCTGCTTCCATGAAAATAGTTAATTACTTCAATATAACTCGGTTATTAGAGGTATTGTTTATTTTATTTCATTTTACTGGGATATATTTATTTGGGACTGTAATTTTCCAATACTTATTTCGTTGAACTAACACCACCACTTCCCAACAGAGACAGACAGACAAAATCAACGTAGAATCTAGCGCATAGATGGATCGATTTAGGTTACACACTACTCAGGAGAATATTACGAACAAGTGGATAGAAAAAGAGTGATATCAAAGCAGAGAGAAGGAATTATTTAAGGATAAAGGTTAGTGCAAATATTCCACTATTAGAATACATCAATAAGTTAATACATCTGAGCCACTGTGACCGATTTTCAGCCATGTCACCAAGAGTCTTGAATCACTGATTCCTATCGTCTCAGAGGACCGCTCTCTCATAGCCACAGACAAACAATACCACTAAATTTAATATAGTTTTCATAAAGAATTGATATAAATTATAAGGACGTTGAGAATGGGTAAGTTATGAACGGCTAGTTACAGTAATTTAATTCTCAAGTTAATGTCAATCTGTGATGAAAAATCCTTGATATCAATTAGTTCCCGAGAAGCCTCCAAACTGAGTGTACTTAAAATTCCCTCTAATAACTAAAGTAAGGAAAATTCAAATAATTTAACGCGACAGAAATCACCAGTAATTGATCGGATAAACCTGGTGGCCGTGAAGACAAATACTCAACGTTGACACTGGATGATGGTCGCGCTATATCGTGAACTGACAGAAGTTGGAAATATGAAACTCTAGATTCTGACCCAGTAGCTCAATGGTAACATGCTATCCACGGAACCTGAAAATCCTAGCTTTGATCCCCGGTGGGGTCACGGGTGCGCACTGCTGAGGAGTCCTATACTAGAAAGAGACAGCCATCCCGTGGTGCAAGGTTTCCAACGTTCCCCCAAAAGATGTCAGTCCATGATGAATACCAACTTGAAATCACTAAAAATCTCTACAAAACCCTAAATTAAACTATTATGGACTATGTTGTGACTTAACCTCGCCTGGTTAACTAGTTCACTAGTTACCAGCTGGTCCTAAGCCCATATAAAGAGTGAAGGTTGGGCATAGGGCTAGCAACCCTACATTAGAAAACAAACCTAACCGCTACAGAAACTTCAAAACACAGACAAAATATAAAAAATAAAAACAAAATTATTCCTCGCTAGATTTGGAGAGACGAAATGACGCCGATTGGTGAAAGCCTTCGGGAAACCAATTGGCCTATGTCTTCGCTTCTCTCGATGAAAGCGAAAGTAAACGTGGGGACATGGAATGTCCGCACCATCTTTGAACCCAGCAAGGCTACCCAGATTGCAAACGAGATGACAAGGTATCGCATTGAAGTGCTGGTAATTTGCGAAAGCAGATGGAATGGAAGTGGACTCTCCAAACTCAAGTGGAACCCCGATGGGAAGTGACGAGTTGGGCGTCGGTGCCGAGGGTGACATGGAGGAGGGTGTACGAGGAGGAAATGAGAGCTACTGAGCTGTCGTGGAGCCAGGTTCAAAAGATTTCAGAGAACAGAGCGCATTGGAGACGTGCAACTGAAGCCCTATGTTCCACTAGGAACCCAAGGGACAAATAATAATAATCTTGTGACTATTAGACAAAATTTATTTGTTTAGCTTCAAAAAAGACACTGAGTATTACACAACACAAGATCTGGCATGATTATGTATCGCTTCAAGTTACCGCTCTTCACTCAGATCATCATAGCAAGGGGGAAGTCAACACGAGGAGCGGTAGCGAAATCATGAGAATTCAGTTTTAGTTCTAAAGGATATTAAACATGATGTAAATAAAAAACCTAACCGAAGGCAAAAAGTAAATCCAAGTTTTTAGAATAGATTAGACGCCACATTGACTATTTGTCAACCAAGTCACGTAAAAAAGTTTTGATTACCTCTTGAATCCCATCTAAAATACCTTAATTATTCGAATAGATGAAGCCAACAGTTGGAAAATTCATAAATCAATTCGAAGGATTTGTCTAAGTACCTCCAATTTTTTTCAACTTAATCCTTCTCTACCTAATCCCACACAGTAAATTGAACAACAGCTAGATAATTGCAATACACATATTTTATATCCATCTTAGTCAATGAAGGTTTATGAGTTCAGTTCTTCAACTGATTCATTTATGTAATCTAATACTCCAACATCTAACATCTTATTACTAATTTGTTCTTTCTTCTAAAGTGGAGCGAATTCACGAAGTTAGTGGATGTTTAATTACTTGATGTATTTTAAAATCCTGTATTTGTTGCGACTAGGTACCACTTCTAAAGAGTTAGATGGGACAAATGCTCAGAAATATCTTCAGATATCTGGTCAGCACTAAAACTGGCAAATTTTAGAGAGAGTGAATAAAACTTTTCTCTTTCCACCAACCCACTAAAGTTGATTAGAATTAACAGGTAAGCAAAGGGGTCGATAACCTTAAGCATTTAGCTTAAAGTCTGCATGTGAGAGATATAAAAACTATCCTAAGCATTACCACACTTTATTAACTGTACCCAGATCATATTTTTTTATATCCTCATAGGATAATATTGCCTGCATACTATTGACCACTTAAGAGCATGTACCAAAGAACCCAATCCTTGTAAGGCTCAAAAAGGACTATGCAGTCTTCAGAAGTGTGCAGATGTTCAAGGATATTAAAACTGATGAAAGCTTAAATCCATCGCTAGGGCCATCTGACTAAATTCTACCGGAAGATAGCTAAATTTGAACTGTAATATAACTACTGGTAACTAAAACGTCTTCAGTGAGATGTTATATAAACTTAGCAACCTCCTATTTGAGAAAAATTGTCACGAAACCTCATAGTCGACAATACATTCATGCACACATCTCAAGTCTACCTACCAATCTTAAGCTTCACCTATTCGTCGAACAACTACGGAACTTAAGAACAATTAAACCATGTTGATCAAGTTAATTCCTTTATTTCTCACATTAAAAATTCTCATTCGTTTTTGTAAACCAGAACAATAAAAGTGTATAGCTAATCACGGAGAATCATTTCTGATTCTTTATCCTAATTGACATTGTATTCAATTTAATCATTGATTCTTGGTTTCCGCCTTTAAACACTTCTAGCGACAACAAATAGTGACTGGCTTAACTTCTTAACCATAACAACAGCTGGAAGCCTGATTTCATTGAACTATACAAAACCATTCGCGACTAGTCCACCAGAGATGTGTCCGATTAAGTAAATCAGACAAAAAAAAGAAGGAACTCCATCGAAAATGGATCTAATCAATTTGTCATATTAAATAATATTGAAAAAATATAAAACTGGTGAAAGTATAAAGGTGTTAAAATGAACAATAATACAAATTTTAATGATGTAAGGGTTTCATGTGAGCACACTGATAGAGTAAAATTCCATTTTAAGTAAGTTCATATGACACAACTCATACATAAACAAATTTATTCACTGAATACTTTTCCAATCACACAATTTATTACTAGTAATCATTTCAAGATGACCACAAAAAGTTTTCTTTTTGTTTAAATAATTCTATTGCTTTTCATGCTTGTATTATAAAAAGTGGTGAAACTCTTCATATATCGAAGATTAGCGACGAATTACTCCTCAAATAAGATGATGGTTCAAGTACTAAGCCTGATACAAAACTACAACGTTCTGATAAGTATTTAGACTTCAGGTTACTTCATTCTACATTGGTAAAAGTAGACTTCTTGAAATGTTTGAATTATCGTATCAGTAGTATAACTGCAAAGTCTGAAAATTTTAATGAAACAACTAAAAATAAAGAGACATTACTACTGAAATAACTATCCTCAGAAATTCATAGACTGTCATAAGAAAATGAGAAGCAGTAATGGGATCAGCATCTGCAACACGACTAATAATGAATTCATAGTAATATATCACCAAAGAATATGGAGTAGTTAACAATCTGAAAGACTCATCAGCCGTGTACACTAACAAATTCATCTCACGAATCTGAATTATCCAAACTTGAATCTGACTAGCTGACTTAGATGAATCCCTATATTGTAAACATCGTAAAGATAATCAGAGTTTTTTTATTCTAGTTTCTTAAAAACATACACTAGTCAGTATGCATATCGAACGTCAAATAATTAGATAGCGAAAATGTTTCATCAGTAAGTGACTAAGGTACTTAACTGGCAGTCAGTGACTTTTCAGTTCATCTATTCTTAGTTCTGTCCCAACATATTTTTGCCAAATCCATCATCATTAGTAGAAATTCACAAACATATTGACTGACCCAACTTTTGCAGGTGTTTCGACCACAGGAAAACAGTGTTACAAAGATGACTGAGATTAAATCCTCTTTAATTTTCTCATATATCCCGTACTCAAAAGTAGTAGGTTTCAAATTTGAGTAAAATATTGTGAAATGGTGTTTAGTAGAACTGCTCATTCATTGGAGTTTTAGAACCAGATTATTATTAAGTGCCAAAAAATTAAAAACACATGCATAACATTTTGATAAGACTTCTTCAAAAACATGTTGTCCTCAGTATTTTTGCATTAAAAGTATGTAAAGATAACCCCAATTAGATAATTAGCCAAAACTTTAAAACTTACTTGTGCTCTGGATCATATTGAATTGCATAGACTGAAGGCTGTAAAGCTGAATCTGCATAACGTCTAATCAGTTTACCATCCAGTGTGTAGCATAATACAGCTGCATTCTCCCGATCTGCTGCACATACTTGTTCAAGGCTACCATCTTCACTAGGAATGATAGTCAAACTGTGTACCACCTTGAAATCGAATTTGCTCATATCCATATTTGACTCATAATTTGGCTCTGTATATAAAACTTCAGTTGGCAAATAATCTTGTAAAAATGAATTTGGTGCATGTGACATATCACCTTGATAATCTTGATTCAATAAACCTAAAGCTGACCATTCAGTTAAATATGTACCATTTGGTGAAAATTTGACAATTCGTGAATTGCAATAACCATCTGCGACAAATACCTCACCCTTTATTCAAAGTCAATCAAACAAAAAAAGATGTATATAGGAAATAAGAATTTAGTAACAATGAAATTTAGGAAAATTATCCTTTTGAAGTTATCTATGAGCAGATTTTTGAAGAAAAGAATGAGTATTCTTTATTACAAGTGTCAACTGTTTGCATACACGAAACAGTTTTAACAAAAGCAATTGAAGTTTTCAGGTATTAATTCCAAAGTGGTATTCATCACTGACTGAAATAAGTTGCAGAAATATTGGAAACTTAGGAGCATCGGAGAGCTGTTTCGTCCTAATATGGTGCTCCGTCAGGGGTCGAACCCAGGAACTCCAGGTTTCATGACGAGCCAGTTAGCCACTTAGCTACTGGGTCAGATTTCAATGTTCCACAGTTTCGTACTTTTGTCAACTTTCGATACAGAGCTACCATTGTCCAAGGTCACCAATTGAAACCTGCTTCACGTACAACTGGTTGACGCCACCATTCACGAGAAATCTATCTAGAAGCATGCCATTAATTAGCACTAGGCAGTGAGTAAGTTTGAAGTTTGTAGGAATTCATCTATTTTAAGATGTTATTCATCACTTACTGATCGCTGAGAAATCCCACATTCTGACGAAATGGATGTTCCGAGTTCTTCAGTGGTCCTTCATCTGATGAATATAACCGTTTACTTGATTTTATTTATCCTGCCTTGTCTATCTGATTGTAAAGGAACCAAACATTTGTCAGACACAGAGTGCGTTGATAATGATTGTAAGTTACCAAAGAGTTTTTTTATCAAACTTTATTTTGTATGCAATCATCCTCATAGTTTCTTCATTTCATGACCGAGGAAAGTGTAAAGGCTACATATACATAGGTAAGTTAACGATTTTTCGTACATCACATCAATCTGCTGTTCAATGTTGGCATACAAAGTGGTTTCTTCTAAAGTGTTATTATATAGGCAGCTTATATGATGTAACGTCCCGAAATAGTACAGAATATTTCAGTCACCTATGCATCAGTTTTTAATAAGGACCATAAGATGATGTTTCAAAACCACATCCTAGTCTGCTACTTTTAATGAACAAATACAGTTGACCTTCTAGAGTGCTATAATAATGCCACAAATTCCGTTGGTCACTAATAATGTCCACAGATATACTAAGTGTAGCAGTGAGAGTTTTTATGAATTTACATTTATTATAGGTTGATTATTGAATCCTGATGCCAGTTTGACTCTAGAAGAATAGCTTCAAACTTGAATTAATTATATATGGTATAAACATGAGCCTATCCCATTTAGAAATCAAACGGTTAAATAATGGAACCAAGTACAGTAAAATAAAACGAATTTTGCAGGTTAATTGGTGGCTAGCATGGAGAACGTGCGTTTCGCTCTATTTAGGAATCGTCAGCTGCATGCGCCTGCACTCCAGTTAATGATATTGTTCCCATTGAGACTCCAACCTAGCGCGTATTTTGTATGTTAAAATCCCCTCAACTCCTCGAGACTGTGGTTCAGTACTCTTGATGGACATATCAGGTACTTTCTCAAAAACATTAGTTCAGCTACTTCTTGAAATTTCATCGGTTAACAGCTCACTTGAATACATGAGATGAAGGAGCATAGAACCTTCCAAAGAATCAAACCATTTCAGCGAGACTTGTGTATAATAACGAGATGATAATTAAGCAGTACGTAGAAGAACTAGACTCCAAGCTTGACATTCTACAATTGTGATCTGAATCATATAAATGAGTTGACATTCCTCTGTAATATTGACTTAACATACACTTTAACAATTAAGTTGTGAACGATCTCATTTGGAAGATGGTTTACAGAATGTCATCATGCATCTGCCTAAAGAGATTATTTTGAAGGTCCAATATCTGACATTTTATTCCGTCAAGTATTAATTACTAAGGCAAAAATGTGTTTATCAGAAAGAGATTTCACGAAGTAGTTAGCTATAGCAACATGATGACAGTGTAGTTATTTCATTTGTACTATGAACTTACTGTACTGGATATTGCAACATCTGATGGCTGACAAAATTGCTTCATATTATTACCAGGTTTACCAGGTATACCAAGAACTAAACTGGGCTTCTCCCATCTCATCCAATTGAATTTGAATACTTGATGTAGAGCTACATCAGTTATCCATACAGAAGATGGTGTTCCATCTCTTCGTCTATGTTGTTGTTGATCACGATCACTTGTTGTATTCGTATCACTAAAATAACTTAGTGTTATGCTGTGTGGTAAAATAAACATGTTACTTCCCCATTTCTGTTCAATATCTCCAGTGATTGGATTCATATGTAAAACTGTATCCGTTTTTATGAAATCTGCTCCATTTTGATAAATATATCGTTTATTAAATGAATTATCTGTCCATATATTCGACCCACGGTGTAAAACAATCAGTTCATGTTGACCGTTACTAATTGTACGCGTCTCAACGCTGCTTGCCTGATTAAACATTTTGAAAAATATGATTAAAAAAAGAAACATTAACCACGTTGTTTTACTCAATCTTTGTTCGAGTGAACATAAGTAACTAAAAAATGCATTTTGTGACAAAATATGACCAACATTTATTTTTTGCTGCTCCCTTATCTACAGTTTTCCGACTTTAAAGGACACTTCATTGCGTTTATTCGGTTTAATACCTTAAGTGTTAGATTGTCTGTGCATAAATAGTAACCCGATTAAACGCAGAAAATTTTTACACAACTAATAGGTTAGAATTATATTTAGTTTCACTTTGGTTCCCTTAGCTTATCAAATGATCCTAAACAACGAGCACGCAAAAAACGAGCCAAAGTCAGTGTGTTCGCCTACTTCGTATTACTGAAGGTTTACTAATCCAAACAGAAAAGATACAGTTTGCATATGAAAAGGATTTATTCAACCTCTACTCTTTACACGGTCTTAATCATCAAGGCTTCAATACATCCTTCGTTCTAACTGTTTCACTTTATGTACTTCTTACATACTGTCAACTATTCTTTGTTTTCATGCTCACCGTGATAATTAGTTGGTGACTATGACATGCATTTGAAACGTTTGTCTCCTAATGTTGGTTATAATGAAATAGTCTCTCCCCCCTTCTCTCCTCTCTCTCTTTCTTTCTCTCTCTCTCTCTCTCTCTCTCTCTCTCTCTCTATATATATATATATATATATATATATATATATATATATATATATATATATATATATATTATGGAGTAAAAAGTGATAACATGAGTGTGAACCGATTGTACTATTTTTTCTCAATAACCGCAGTTAATCTGAAGGTTACAAGTACTTCCAAAATGAAGCAGTAGTGCTTCTCTGCTTAGCAGGATTTCGTTCTCACGCGGAAAACTTTCAGTATAACCTTCAGATATGGTTTTTCAAACCATGTCAACTTTTCTCATGACAGTTCTTCGCATTCATGGCAAATACTTTCTTGGATTGAATGCATGATCTTTATAAATGATGAACCTTTCGAGAAAAACATTTCCACTTTTGTTGTCCAGTTGCATCACTAAGATTTGTGCAGATAATTTTAAAATACACTTTGTCCTTGACAACGTTTGTCTTGCTGATATAACTAAATGTCAAGAGCAAACAACGTGTCTGATGATGGATAGTAATTGAAAATATGAGGCGAATACACCTACCGATGGTTGATTTTATATCGGCACATACAGGATCACCATAAGTTCTGCATGAAATATACAGGTCACCGTGAAATTTTTCAACTTCCAAAACATTCTCTAACCTCTTTTCAGAAGCGAAAATACTATTTGTTGGAAAGTTTTAAACATAAATAAGTGGTAACGTTGGCTTCCACAAAACTTACAAATACTAAAATGATAACCTCTACTTATCTTCTTGTATGAATCACATTTTCGAAAATAAATAATTTATAATCTTGATGCAATAGGTTGTAATTTTCCGTTATTGATTGGACCGATTAGATCAGCCACTATTGACTAACTGATTCCTGAAGGATGCCTTGACATTACCAATAACTTCAGTTTCATGATGAATAATGGCTGGTAGGAACTCTGGCAACGAACCAACGAAGCAAGAACCTATCACTCAACAACTATGCACTGGAAGGAAGTGGAGATGCATTGGGCATACACTAAGAAGGCTGACTGGGGACATCACTCGTCAGGCCAGACATTCGAGTGGAACCCAGATAGGAAGTGACGAGTTGGACGTCTGTGGCGAGGGTGGCATGGAGGAGATCATGCAAGGAGGAAATGAGAGCTTATGGGCTGTGGTGGAGTCAGGTTCAAAAGATTTCAGAGAACAGAGTGTATTGGAGACGTGCAACTGAAGCCTTATATTCCATCAGGAACCCAAAGGACAAATAATAATGTCTGGTAGTGAAATCTACGACGCGCTTCTCATCCTATTCAGAACTCATCAGTTAGACATGCTTGTCCCTCAATGAGTGGTCTTGTTAACACTGGGATTCGTACCCGGGACCCACCACTTCAAGCGCCAGAGCGTTATCCAGTATGCTATTGAGTTACAATACCTACTATCATTTACTGCTATCAACTTATAATCTTGTTTACTGGCACTTAGTGAACCTTGTAAAATACCAATACATACTATTTAAGGCAGAGATCCTAACTACAAGAAATGTGAATAGTCACTGACTACTCGTTTACGAAGGTAACAAAGTATTTGATTGAGGAGGATCAAATCATAGTGAAGAAAATAATAAATCATAAGAAATGTAAACTGCCCATGCATAGTTGACTACTTACAGTCTTAAATGCTGACTTTTGGAGGATCTTGAACTAGGATGTTCAGTGATTTGCTAGCTGACATTATTCTATAGGAAATACTATTTTGAGTTATGTAGTTGATTGTTAGTAAACAATATGTACATTCAGTTTGGATGTTTATGGGAGTTTATTGATGTTGCGGTAGTATTTCAACCATTGATTGACATTAGTTGGAGAACTACTGAAGACCTAGGAACACGTCTAAGGTGTACATTCATTTTCATAAAGATTTAATGTTATACACGGTTAGTTAGATTATAGATAAAAATAGATCATATGAAAAAACTATGTAATAGAAAAATTTGTACATACCTGTCCCAGTAAAATTGTATCATGAAACAGCACATTCTCAGATAATGATGATGATGGCGTTCGAACAATTTCAATTGGATGTATTGTGGTCAGTAACATTTCAGTTGATGATTTTTTTGAGTCAACACTAGATGTTTCAGTCACCAGAGAAGACTTTCTAGTTGATTCACTGACATTCTCTTGTATTAACTCCCATTTCGATTCATATTCATTTGAAGTGCAGAATCCTTTTTGATCTCCGAATGTATTTAGGGGGCTAATGTAGACAGTCGAAATTGAAATAAATGTATGCAAAGTTAGACATAAGACAGGGAAAAGTAAACAGCTACAATAAACTGGAATCTCACAAAAATGTCCTGTTAGGTTCAATCTATCATGTTTAGTAGAAGTAAAAAAAGAGTCATTAAAAAAGATAAAGCTGTAACAGAATCGATAAAAATCATGAGATAGAGTTGTTTACATTAAGTTCAGATAAAGTATACATACATGAGATATCTTTTAAACTAGAAGAGTTTCGAAGTATCTACCCCACTTAACTTTCAATTGTTCAAGCCTTCTATCTTGTATCAAAGTATATGCAGCTCAGTAGTATCCATAGTCCTAACAAAACAGAAATTATTTACACCATGGTACAAGGACCTGTAATTGGTTACTGAATTACACTTAATTAGTACACCTTCACTATGACAGTTAAGAGTACATACTTTAATTTACAGTTGTATGTATCATTGAAATTTGCTTCTAATGAGCGCTACTTTGGAATATACCATGTCTTGTGCTAAAAGTATCACCGAAGCCATTGCAATCATCAGATTTATCTTACTGAATGTATGGCTTAAACTTCTATACAATGAGTACCGTTAAATGGCATCCTGATAACGAAGGTAATTTTCAGTCAAATTTCTTAATCTTCACGGGAAAAAAAGCTTCTTCAGAGTAGTAAATAAACCTAGTTAGCCACTTCAAAAGTTTGGATAAAGTAAGAATGATGAAATTTGCAGAATAAAATGATTCTGTTATACAACTAACGATTATTGACTTCCTAATTTTGAAATATCTTATCTTCTAATACCCGATGTACTTGTAGACTTTATGCAGCTGATGAGTATTCATGAAATGAAATTGTTTCATTTCATTCTGCGAATTTTGCCCTTTTTTGTTTATACAAATTTACCAACGGATCTAAATGGATGAATTTCAGTAGTCGTTGGGGTGAATTTTAAAGTTACTTGGATATTTATATGAATTGCGATTTTCTTTCCTTTTAACTAATGGACTGAATCACCTGTCAACTGATTGTATTGTGTTCAAAGGAAGCATAAACTTCAAGATTACTGGTTAGTTATGCTAATTATTGTCTAGTTCCAAAAGATATACGGGATTGTTTTGAAAAAGGTGATGTGAAAGTGGTGAAAATTTCAGTCCTAGAACATCTAGTAAATACAGCGGCTTTATATGAATTGCAATGAGGCCTTTAATGCCATTAACCTTGCGCCATAAATAATACCACGCGTTGCTCACCAAGGCCTCCTCAACGTAACTGAGTCTGTAGCAATAAGGTCGTTCAAACCTGAACTTTCCATTCAGAAAGAACTTGTTCATACGTTATTCCTGCGTTGACCTTCTGTAAACTAATAGCTATTCTTGTCTTTTCGTTCACTACCACACTCTTCATCTGTGTATTATTACTGTTATTATTTTCCCCTTGGGTTTCTAGTGGAACATAGGGCTTCAGTAGCACGCCTCCATTGCACTCTCTTCTCTGAAGTCCTTTGAACCTGTCTCCATGACTGCCTACAAACTTTCATTTCTTCCTCACATGATCTCCTCTATGTCATCCTCACCTGGGACGCCCAACTCGCTGTTTCCCATTTGGATTCCACTCAGTGGACTGACCTCTTGCGTGATGTCCCCAACCGGTTTTCCCAGTGTATGCCCTATCCATCTCCACATCCTTCTGCATAGTTGTTGGGTGGCAGGTTCTTGGTTGGTTCGTTGCCAACCAGAGCAAGTTCCTCGTTGCTTATTCTTTCTGGCCATCTGATCTTCATTATCGAGTGAGGGTAGGTGGCAGCCGTTGATAAATGTCCGTAGTTTGTTGGAAGTACCTATCGTGCCGCGCCAATTTTCTGAACTATATAGCAGCACTGACTTGACATTGGTGTCGAAAATCCGGATCTTGTTGTTTGTGCTGAGTGAAGTAGATCCTTACACTGACTTCAGATTAATGACAGTCTGTCTTGCTTTTCCGACCCTGGCTTTGACATCCCTGTCTGTGCCTGTGCCGCCTGTAGTTGAAACGATGCTGCATACTTGGTAAGTAGAAGAGACTACTTCCTTTAGATTTCTCCCTTGATGGTGATTGTTCCCTGTTGTTGATGCTGTTGTTGGTTGGGTATTTTCATCACCTCTGTCTCCTCTACGTTTACTTGAAGGAAGTGCCGTCTTCGCTGCCTCGCCTCTTCTACCAACTTTTTAGTTTTTGCCTGCAGATCTTCGACTTTGTGCGACATTAGACATAAATCATCATCGGCGAAATCCAAATCTTCTAGGCTCTTTTCATCGGTCAAACAGCATATGCCTCTCTTCTCGCTCCTCATGGTTTGCTGCATGACCAGTCCACTACAATCAGGAAGGTCATCGGTGATAGTAGACAGCTTTGTCTTACTCCTGTCTTCACGTCAAAGGCTTCGCTGAGCTTCCTAGTGTGGATCACTAGGCATGTGGCGTCTTCATATAGTTGTTAAATGAAATTGATAAAAGTTTGTGGTATGCCTTAGTGTTGAAGCAGCTGTCTGCTAAATTACTTCTCGGTCGTTGCTGTCGAAGGCCTTTTGAAAGTCGACAAATTTAAGGTAGAGAGTTGACTGCCATTCTGTTTTCTGTGTTCTATGATGATGCGTAGAGTTGTTATTTGATCCAAACATGATTTGTACTTCCTGAATCCAGCCAGCCTGTTCTGGTCATAGTTTTCAATCCATTGCATCCTTTAGTCTCTCCAGGATGATGCGGCATAGCATTTTGCTTGAGGTAGACAGCAGTGTGATTTCTCACCAGTTCTTGCAAAGGTTTAGTTCTCCCTTCTTTGGGAGTTTAACAAAGTAGCACTTCTGCCAATCAATGGGCAGGTACCATTCCTTCCTTCCAAACCTTGTGCAATAGTGGTATGAGCATATCCACTGTTGTCTCTTAATACTGACAAATTTAAAAAGAGATATTAATTTCCTCACAGTACTTACAGTTCATCCTACTTTTTAATTATCTATAACTTGGCTTATTTTGAAGCTGTAGATGTACATTTTATTCAGTGTAGAACCTCATGAGACAGCTTGTTGAAAAGAATATTCTTTGTACAGATCGTTTTTAATTAGTGCTATAAGAATCTTTAAATGTTGAATATATACCATTTTAATAAAAACCTTATGCTAGAAAATTCCAGATCCTTCACCTCCTTTTTTTCTTCATTTTATCTTTTGTTCACTAGAGTTTATCAATGGAAAAATTAATATTAAGGTTTTAGAAGATTGAAAATCTACTTAACTTACATTAATATCCCATTGTGAAAAAAAGGTCAATATTGTGAATCAGAAATACAAACAAGGAAGTTGAGATAATAGGCAATGCTTTCATTATTATCTGTGAATATATCCTTTCATTTTTTTAACATTTTATAAAATTTAGATGATATTAAAAAATTTAAAGTTTTCGTTTCATATCCCTAAAAGATTCAGTTTTTAACGTTGGATCGTGTTAGTTAATTTTAGTCAGTATGCTCTTACACACTGTTAAAAAGCTATTCAACTAACCTTTCTTAGCGTTAATAACAAAACGAAGTAAATATGTCAAATTAGATGGAAACTAGATTTTTCAGTGTACAAAAATACATTATATTTTTGTTCTTCGGATACCTGGCTTGAATTGCAGATTCAACCCAACCCCCAAACTTATGATTGATTTTCTTTTCATTCTTCATTCTAGATTTTACTTTGATTATTAACATCATTCACAAGTTGGCAGAAGAGGCAGCGAAGATGGGACTTCAAGTGAATATAGAGAAGACAGAGGTGATGAAGATACCCAACTAACACCACCACCACCACCAACAACAACAACAATAAACTCCAATCACCATCAAAGGGAGAAACTTAAAGAAAGTAGCCTCCTCCATCTATCTAGGCAGCATCGTTTCAACTACAGGCGGCACAGACGAGGATGTCAAAGTCAGAATCGGAAAGACAGCAAGGCAGGCATTCATTAACCTGAAACAGTGTGGAGATCTTCTGCACTCAGCATGTGAAACAAGATGCAGATTTTCAACACCAACGTCAAATCAGTGCTTCTGTGTGATGGATGAGAGACTTGGCGCGTTACGAAACGCATTCCCAACAAACTACACACATTCATCAACAACTGCCACCTACGCTGGCTCGTTACTCAAGATCAGATGGATTGCCAGAATAATAAGAATAACCAACAAGGAACTCTGGCCAGGCAACGAACCAACGAAGCAACAACCTATCGCTCAACAACTATGCACTGGAAGGAAGTTGAGATGCATTGGAATGGGCATACACTGAGAAGGCTGACTGAGGACATCAAGCGTCAGTCCATTGAGTGGAATCCTCATGGGAAGTGACGAGTTGGGCGTCTGTGGCGAGGGTGACATGGATGAGATCGTGTGAGGAAGAAATGAGAGCTTCTGGGCTGTGGTGGAGTCAGGTTGAAAAGATTTCAGAGAACAGAGTGCATTGGAGACGTGCTACTGAAGCCCTATGTTCCATCAGGAACCCAAGGGAATAATAAATAATATAATAATAATAATAATAAACATCATTCAAATGCAATAATCATTTTATTTGGAAATATTGTTCAAGGAGTGACTTTGTTGAAAATAGTGCTGAGAACTCTATACTGAATCATGCATAATATTTCAAATAAAGCGATTGCTATTATTAATTGGTTAAAAGTCTTACTAGGTTTATGTTTCTCACTACTTGACACCTTCAGTCTTAAGAGAACTTATGTTTATTAGGTTATCCTTATCCATATCATTCAGAGTTGAAGTCTGAAACTTTACCAGTCAACTATCCATCCATAAGACCCCTCTGAGAACTGTATTATGTATACAAATTTGGTACTCAATAGTTATTGGTACGTATGTCAAGCCTCTAGAGCTGTTCGAAGTTAGCTGGATTGCTTGGATTATACGAGACTGTTGTAATGTGTTATTTTAAATTCGATAATGTCATTGTATCA